ACTTGTGACACACTGTTACATACCACACTTTGTTTTGCAGATAAACAAATTGATGAACCCAGAGTCAGATGCGGTTCTGATTGGAGCTTCACTTGGAGGGACGATAGCGGTGGAAATAGCTAATTATTTGAGAGTAAAGTGCAAAGTAATCGTTATCGACAGTGGAACCGAATACAAAAAACTGAGCGCGTGTACATTTCGAGATCACAAAAAGGTTGTTTTATTGATGGCAATGTTGTGCTTATTTTTCCTATAACTTTTACCAGTTCTGGTGGCTGATCATATTAGACAACATTGTTCAGAGCATGGATCAAATTTTGAAGAATTATGCAGTCGATGACTTTACAAAATACTGGATGATACTGAACTCATGGGATATGCTAATGCTGCTGCAAGAATATGAACCAACGATACCTACAGCCGTCGAGAAGTTGTACGTTTTCTCGATCGATGGATCCGATCTTGGATGGAGCAGGTATGCGAAAAAAACTGTCATCAAAGTAAATTCCGAATACTAGTGACTGGCAAAGTTATTGGTGAAATCTTGCGGCCAGATAAACACAGTTGATTGTTGGGTGGCGAATAAGGGTAAGCGAGTAATCAGAGGCGCAGTTGACGACAATTTCGAGATACCTAGTTTGAGCGAAAATGTTATGATGCAGAATTACGCAAAAGCAGCGAAGAGAGCGGGGAAATCGGCGGGTTTACAGAAAAAAAAGTTCTGAAAAAAGTAGTAAAGACGAGACTGGGCAAGACTATGACGACGTGTGGGCTGTAGTTTGAATGACCATCCGTCGTGTGCAATGCCTGGATGACTACTGACAAGCAAGAAGTGCTGAAAATTGCCTTCCACTGTCGCCACGGCCCACAAGTATTCGTTTATAAGTTCCTCATACATGCTCCACTGTGCATGGCGTGGCCTATTCAAGTTTTCTGGAACTGGCGTACAATGGATGCAGTCTTTAAGCCCTTTTTACTCCCTACGGAAGTTTTACGATCTGACAGCGCCACATGTTCCATAATAATGGGCCACGAATTCGTCCTATGAGCATATTTTGGAGGTCACTTCTATCGTTAACTGAACCATTAAAGGGGTAAGCCCATTCCTCACCGCTCGTTTGAGAGCCATGAGTTCGATTTTTGCTAAGGCTGAAACCATGCTCTGCAAAAGTTGCAATGAGCCACTGGCACTGCTGTGGACGATAGGCTGGCCAATGGAAATAGATACAGTAACTGTCTAGACCTGAGTATTAATATAACCAATAATAATATCAGTACCAAACAATATAACAGAACTGACGATTTCAGCTTCAATGTCATAAGTTTTCCTCATTGTGGTACTAGCCTTTCCAATACCAATAAAACCTATGCACAGAAGCATTGACAATAGCCAATACATGTTCTAATATGGAAACGTTAACCACAAAGTTGGAAGAGATGATGAAATTCTATGGAAAATTGGATACAAAGAAGA